AGGAAATCATGGGGCCCCTGTGTCCCTCACCCACACTCAAAAATCCACACCAAAAATAGCTATGAAAGGTAACGGCATCGTGGATGGAAATAACTCAACATACATGTTTAACTGGAAATACACGCAATATTCTCCCTAGAAAGGTCAGTTTGACTCCATAAGGTGTTGTCTCTGATCCAAAACAACAGGAAAAAAAACATATTACGGGAAAAATAAAGAGTGGAATATGAATATTACAGCATTCATTCAACCTTAAAACACTGTGATAGCTTTCCAAAATGGTAATGTAATAACAATAATATATTTCAAAGGCAGATGTATCATTAATATCACAGCAAAACACTTGCCATTAACTTTGGAAAATGAATTCCCCTCCAATATTTGATTAAACCTTTGTTTGTATACATTCGATGTCCATTAAACAGGTACCATAGTCAGGCGACGCTCCTCTCCGTCTGATATCTCATTTGTAGCTTGTTTGTTCATTTGAATTTCCGAATATCTTATGTTTTTTTTTTTTTTTTTCTCCGCTGGAATAAAACTTGCGTTGATGGACAGGCGCGACAGATTGTAGGTCGCTGCCGCTAAAAGGCAATTCGTGGGGAAATGGGCTTATTTTTAATTTTGACCATCTAGGAACAATAAAAATATCCATTTGAATCGAGACAAATGCAGCCGTTGATATTTGCGGCGAATGTTTATCACTGTCAGCGCTCTGCGAGAAGTGCCAAGCTGATGTCTGCGGTGAAAAGTGGAGAGCTTGCCACAGGGCATTCTGTGTATTTTCCCTCCGCAAATTGCCGCAATTTTGCATTAATATCTCATGCGTACTTGTCATGTTTGAAAGAAAAAAAATATGTTTGGAGCTTCAAGAAATTTTTTTTTTTTTTTTTTTAAATAAAAGTTCTGTTCAAAGGAACGAGCAGAACTTTCTGCAGGATAAGGCCACTTACACAGTTACATATATATTCGCTGAGCACTTTATTAGGAACACTACAGCGAGCTCAACTGGGGTCAGCAATACAGATAAATGAGTATTCCCGGGTTGAATTTGTAAGTAAAATAAGCTCCATTGTTGGTGAATGCAATGATAACCCCCAGCATGTGAAGACTAGCAGTAACCCCTAGGCCCTGTTAGCTCCAGCAATGACAACCCCGAGAAATAACCCCCTGCATTGGTGTAATGGCCACCAATAATAACCCCAGCAATAATCCTCAACAAGTGTCAAGGCCTGCAATAATCCCCCCCGCCTCCAGCAATAAACCCCAGTAGATGTCAGCGCCAGTAATGACAACCCCAAGAAATAACCCCCTGCATTAGTGTAATGGCCACCAATAATAACCCCAGCAATAATCCTCAACAAGTGTCAGGGTCTGCAATAATCCCCCCTGCCTCCAGCAATAACCCCCAGTAGATGTCAGCACCAGCAATAACCTTCAGCAAGTGTCAAGGCCAGAAATAAGCACCATCAGTAACCCTTAGCAAGTATCAGGGCCATCAGTAACCCCCAGTCAGTGTCAGGGCCAGCAATGATCCTCAGCAAGTGTCAGGGCCAGCAATGACAACCCTCAGCAATAACCCCCTGCATTGGTGTAGTGACCAGCAATAAATAACCCCCAGCAATAATCCTCAGCAAGTGTCAAGGCTTGCAATAATCCCCCCTAGCAATAACCCCCAGTAGATGTAAGGGTCAGCAATAACCCTCAGCAAGTGTTACGGCCATCAATAACCCCCAGTAGGTGTCAGGGTCAGCAATAACCCTCAGCAAGTGTCATGGCCAGTAATGACAATCCTCAGCAATAACGCCCTGCATTGGTGTAGTGGCCAGCAATAATAACCCCCAGTAATAATCCTCAGCAAGTGTCAAGGCCTGCAATAATTCCCCCTAGCAATAACCCCCAGTAGATGTAAGGGTCAGCAATAACCCTGAGCAAGTGTTAGGGCCATCAATAACCCTCAGCAAGTGTCAGGGCCAGCAATGACAACACTCAGCAATAACCCCCTGCATTGGTGTAGTGGCCAGGAATAATAACCCCCAGTAATAATCTTCAGCAAGTGTCAGGGCCTGCAACGATCCCCCCTAGCAATAACCCCCAGTAGATGCCAGGGTCTGCAATAACACTAAGCAAGTGTCAGGGCCATCAATAACCCCCAATAGGTGTCAGGGCTAGCAATGACCCTCAGCAAGTGTCACGGCCAGCAATGACAACCCTCAGCAATAACCCCCTGCATTGGTGTAATGGCCAGCAATAATAACCCCCAGCAATAATCTTCAGCTAGTGTCAAGGCCTGAAATAATCCCCCCTAGCAATAACCCCCAGTAGATGTAAGGGTCAGCATTAACCCTCAGCAAATGTTAGGGCCATCAATAACCCCCAGTAGGTGTCAGGGCCAGTAATAACCCTCAGCAAGTGTCAGGGCCAGCAATGACAATCCTCAGCATTGGTGTAGTGGCCAGCAATAATCCTCAGCAAGTGTCAGGGCCTGCAATAACCCCCCCCCCCAGCAATAACCCCCAGTAGAAGTCATGGACAGCAATAACCCACAACATTAACCCTGAGCAAGTGTCAGGGCCATCAATAACTCCCTGAAGGTGTCAGGGCCAGCAATGACCCTCAGCAAATGTCAGGGCCAGCAATGACAACCCTCAGCAATAACCCCCTGCATTGGGTGTAATGGCCAGCAATAATAACCCCCAGCAATAATCCTCAGCAAGTGTCAAGGCGTGCAATAATCCCCCCTAGCAAAAACCCTCAGTAGATGTAAGGGTCAGCAATAACCCTCAGTAAGTGTTAGGGCCATCAATAACCCCCAGTAGGTGTCAGGGCCAGCAATAACCCTCAGCAAGTGACAGGGCCAGCAATGACAACCCTCAGCAATAACCCCCTGCATTGGTGTAGTGGCCAGCAATAATAACCCCCAGCAATAATCCTTAGCAAGTGTCAGGGCCTGCAATAATCCCCCTCAGCAATAACCCCGAGTAGATGCCAGGGTCTGCAATAACCCCCAGCAAGTGTCAGGGCAATCAATAACCCCCAGTAGGTGTGGGGGCCAGCAATAACCCCCAACAGTAACCCTCAGCAAGTGTCAGGGCCATCAATAACCCCCAGTAGGTGTCAGGGCCAGCAATAACCCCCCCCCCCCCCATAACACTCAGCAAGTGTCAAGGCCAGCAGTGACAATCTCCAGCAAAACCCCCTGCATTTGTGTACAGGTCAGCAATAATAACCTCAACAATAATCTTCAGCAAGTGACAGGGCCTACAATAACGCTCCCGCAATAACCCCCAGTAAGAGTCAGGGTCAGTAATAACCCCCTGCATTGGTGTAGGGGCCAGCAATAATAACCCCCAACATTGATCCTCAGCAAGTGTCAGGGCCTGCAATAACCCCCTGCATTGGTGTAGTGGCCAGCAATAATAACCCACAACATTGATCCTCAGCAAGTGTCAGGGCCTGAAATAACCCCTCCCCCCAGAAATGACCTCCAGTATGGATCAGGGCCAGAAATAACCCTCAGAAAGTATCAGGGCAAGAAATAGGTTCTAGCAAGTGTTAGGTCCTGCGATGATAAGCCCTTGCACTAAACCCAAGCAAGAGTCAGGGCAAGTGATAACCCCCCGCAATAACCCTCAACAAGTGTCAGGGCAAGCAATAAACCCCTATAAAACAATAACCCTCAGCGATAATATCCAGCATACATCAGGACAGCAATGACAACCTACAGCAAGTATCAGGGCCAGCAATAGCCTCTAGCAGATGTCAGGGCCAGCAGTGATACTCCACCAGTTAGTGTCTTGGCAAGCAGTGAGCCACAGGATATGTCAGATCAAGCAATAACCCCCAGCACTAGTGATTAGTAGTTGTACCTAACTCATCATCCACTCCATCAAAGCTGCCTCTCGCTGCCGAAATTATAACTCATCTGTTGGGCAGGAGATCCCTCAGCCCTACACAGCAAGGCAGCACAAGTGTAGTCAACGAGCCGAAACGCATAGCATTCCTTTGAGTTTCCTAAAGCAGCTGTGGCCCACCAGAGGATCCTCCTGGGGGCCAGTTTGAGTCCGCTGGTGGCTGCTGATGGAAGGGCTATAGGGGTGCTTGGTGAACTTTTGGAGGGCGCTATAGAGGGCTCTACAGCATCCTCCTGGAGCTGCCACTAACTTTCACCTTCTTCTTCAGAGATGTTCAGCCTGACTTACACTTGTCATCAGAAAAGAGATATCCAGATAAACTGGAAACGCAGTAGTGACAGTTGTATAAACTGGAATATATGCGGGGTTATAAAGTGCGGTAAGCACCGGTGCCTCTCCTATTTCATGGCGGCGCTTTGGCGGTATTAAACTCTTTTACATGTTCATTATAGGAAGCGAAGAAGAGGGCTGACTCTTTTAGCATCAATTAAGCAGAATATCTTCTCCCGTAAATCCTGGTATTCACATACAGCTCAGCCTGACTCCATAAAGACTTTGCAGACCCGGCTATGAATTCTAATAAAATATCCCTTTAAATGTGTTCACAGTCTCTTATCTATGGAGGGTCTCGGAAAACCCGCAACAATTGGTTGGTGTGGTCCTTAGTCTGGGTTCACACCTATTCATTTTCTGTTGCGTTTTGCAGAAACGCACAGCAGTCCAGCAGATATAGTGAATGCGGGGTCCGGGGAGAGCGGATATAGTGAATGCAGGGTCCGGGGAGAGCGGATATAGTGAATGCGGGGTCCAGGGAGAGTGGATATAGTGAAATGCAGGGTCCGGGGAGAGAGGATATAGTGAATGCGGGGTCTGGGGAGAGCGGATATAATGAATGCAGGGTCCAGGGAGAGCAGATATAGTGAATGCGGGGTCTGGGGAGAGCGGATATAATGAATGCGGGGTCCGGGGAGAGCAGATATAGTGAATGCAGGGTCTGGGGAGAGCGGATATAGTGAATGCAGGGTCCGGGGAGAGCGGATACAGTGAATGCAGGGTCCGGGGAGAGCGGATATAGTGAATGCGGGGTCCGGGGAGAGCGGATATAGTGAATGCAGGGTCCGGGGAGAGAGGATATAGTAAATGCGGGGTCCGGGGAGAGCGGATATAATGAATGCAGGGTCCAGGGAGAGCAGATATAGTGAATGCAGGGTCCGGGGAGAGCGGATATAGTGAATGCAGGGTCTGGGGAGAGCGGATATAGTGCATGCAGGGTCCGGGGAGAGCAGATATAGTGAATGCAGGGTCCGGGGGAGAGCGGATATAGTGAATGCAGGGTCCGGGGAGAGCGGATATAGTGAATGCAGGGTCCGGGGAGAGAGCGGATATAGTGAATGCGGGGTCCGGGGAGTCCCGGATATAATGAATGCAGGGTCCGGGGAGAGCGGATATAGTGAATGCAGGGTCCGGGGGAGAGCGGATATAGTGAATGCAGGGTCCGGGGAGAGCGGATATAGTGAATGCAGGGTCTGGGGAGAGAGCGGATATAGTGAATGCGGGGTCTGGGGAGAGAGCGGATATAGTGAATGCGGGGTCCGGGAGACCGGATATAATGAATGCAGGGTCCGGGGAGAGCGGATATAGTGAATGCGGGGTCCGGGGAGAGCGGATATAGTGAATGCGGGGTCCGGGGAGAGAGGATATAGTGAATGCAGGGTCCGGGGAGAGCGGATATAGTGCATGCAGGGTCCGGGGAGAGCGGATATAGTGAATGCAGGGTCCCGGGGAGAGAGCAGATATAGTGAATGCAGGGTCCGGGGAGAGCGGATATAGTGAATGCGTGGTCCGGGGAGAGAGCGGATATAGTGAATGCTGGGTCCGGGGAGACCGGATATAATGAATGCAGGGTCCGGGGAGAGAGCGGATATAGTGAATGCAGGGTCCGGGGAGAGAGCGGATATAGTGAATGCAGGGTCCGGTGAGAGCGGATATAGTGAATGCAGGGTCCGGGGAGATCAGATATAGTGTGAATGAGGGGGTCCGGGGAGAGCGGATATAGTGCATGCAGGGTCCGGGGAGAGCGGATATAGTGCATGCAGGGTCCGGGGAGAGCGGATATAGTGAATGCAGGGTCCTGGGAGAGCGGATATAGTGCATGCGGGGTCCGGGGAGAACGGATATAGTGAATGCGGGGTCCGGGAGAGCGGATATAGTGAATGCAGGGTCCGGGGTGAGCGGATATAGTGAATGCGGGTCCGGGGAGAGTGGATATAGTGAATGCAGGGTCCGGGGAGACCGGATATAGTGAATGCAGGGTCCGGGGAGAGCAGATATAGTGAATGCGGGGTCCGGGGAGAGCGGATATAGTGAATGCAGGGTCCGGGGAGACCAGATATAGTGAATGCGGGGTCCGGGGAGACCAGATATAGTGCATGCAGGGTCCGGGGAGAGCGGATATAGTGAATGCAGGGTCCGGGGAGAGCGGATATAGTGAATGTAGGGTCCGGGGAGAGCGGATATAGTGAATGCAGGGTCCGGGGAGACCGGATATAGTGAATACAGGGTCGGGGAGAGCGGATATAGTGAACACAGGGTCCGGGGTGAGCGGATATAGTGAATGCGGGGTCTGGGGAGAGTGGATATAGTGAATGCAGGGTCCGGGGTGAGTGGATATAGTGAATGCGGGGTCCGGGGAGAGTGGATATAGTGAATGCAGGGCCTGGGGAGACCGGATATAGTGAATACAGGGTCCGGGGAGAGCGGATATAGTGAACGCAGGGTCCGTCCGGGAGAGCGGATAAAGTGAATGCATGGTCCAGGGAGAGCAGATATAGTGAATGCAGGGTCCGGGGTGAGCGGATATAGTGAATGCGGGGTCTGGGGAGAGCGGATATAGTGAATGCGGGTCCGGGGTGAGCGGATAATAGTGAATGCAGGGTCCGGGGAGAGCGGATATAGTGAATGCGGGGTCCGGGGAGAGCGGATATAGTGAATGCAGGGTCCGGGGTGAGCAGATATAGTGAATGCAGGGTCCTGGGAGATCAGATATAGTGAATGCGGGGTCCGGGGTGAGCGGATATAGTGAATGCATAGAGGGTCCGGGGAGACCAGATATAGTGAATGCGGGGTCCGGGGAGACCAGATATAGTGAATGCAGGGTCCGGGGTGACCAGATATAGTGAATGCGGGGTCCGGGAGAGAGGGATATAGTGCATGCAGGGTTCAGGGAGAGCGGATAATATAGTGCATGCAGGGTCCGGGGAGAGAGGATATAGTGAATGCAGGGTCCGGGGAGAGAGGATATAGTGAATGCAGGGTCCGGGGAGAACCGGATATAGTGAATGCAGGGTCCGGGGAGAGCTGCATTGCCGCTATAAGTCGCTGATCGCTGCCATTACTCGTATAAAACATAATCCCTGTATACTGTATATACCGCCATTTGTAAACGCTATAACTTTCACGTAAACCAATTAATTTACACGTTTTGGGATTTTTTTTAGCAAAGACATGGTGCAGAATACATTTTGGCCTAAATTTATCACAAATTAAGATTTTTTTTAATTCTTCTACAGGACATGTTTAATAGCAAAAAAGTCAAAAATATATTTTTTTTTTCTCAAATTGTCAGTCTTTTTTTTGCTTATTGCAAAAAAATTTTTTAAAAAATGCACAGGTCATACCAATACCACCGAAAGAATGTTGCATTCGTGGGGAAAAAAAAGGACATACATTTTATTTGGGTGCAGCATTGCATGACCGCGCAATTGTCAGTTAAAGTAACGTAGCTCTGCAACACAAAAAAAATGACCTGGTCAGGAGGGGGGGGGGGGATCCTCTGGAGGGTAAGGGGTTAAGAGGAAAAAGTCCAAAAATACATTTTTTTTTTTGCTTTCAAAATGGTCAGTCTTTTTTAATTTTATTTAATGTTGCAAACAATTAAAAACGCAGAGGCGATCCGATACCAAACCGAAAGAAAGCTCTATTTGTGGGAAAAAAAGATTGTAAATTTCATTTGGGTGCAGCGTTGCATGACTGCGCAATTGTCCGTTAAGGGGGGTCCTCTGGAGGGCACGTGATTAAGAGGAAAAAGTCAAAAATATTGTTTTTTTTTTCTCAAAATTATCGGTCTCTTTTTTTATTTATGGCGCAAAAAATTAAAAACGCAGAGGCGATCCAGTACCACCGAAAGAAAGCTCTGTTTGAAGGGAAAAAAAAGGACATACATTTCATTTGGGTGCAGCGTTGCATGACCACGCAATTGTCAGTTAAAGTAATGCAGCGCCATGACGCAAAAAAAAATGGCCTGCTCAGGAAGGGGGGGTGGGGGGGGATCCTCTGGAGGGGAAGGGGTTAATCTGTAGCTCTGCTTTGAGCACATTGACCTGCGTTTCGGCATGCATGAACATGCATTGGGCTCTCCAGCTTTGCAGGACTACAAGTTCCTGGATGCCTCTGCAAGTCATAGCTGTAACTGTCAGTTTTGTAATCTTTGCAATGCCTCATGGGAAATGTAGTTCCACAACAGCTAGAGAGCCGCAGTTTGCGTACCCCTTGGTTAGGGCATCCATTTATTAGGAATGGGCTGCCAGTGAACCACAATGCGGATGACCCCTTAGCACATAGTGAACAGTATGTATTGGGAGGCCATTCACAATAAATAGCACCACAATGCATGCACCACCATGTACAATACGCGCCATGACAGTGTGCGTTATCGCACGCATTTTAGAACGCGATGCCACAACACACAAGTGTGAATGGGTCCCCACATCTAATTGTATGTACAATACAAAGAAAAAGGGTTTCGCCTTCCATGTGATATAATCAGAACGCTGAGCCCGGGTTCACACTGCTGCGGTAAGGAATTCATCCCACACCAATACTCTGTGCAAATTCCGCACAGCATCAACAAGCAACACGCCTCGTTCATGCGAACCGCTGCGGGTGTGTATGTTATTATACATTGTATCATTATACGAACATCATATTATACATTGTATACAATTATATACATCCTATAATACATTGTATCATTATAATACATTCCATGTTATACATTGTATAATTATATACCCAATTCAATATTATACATTGTATCATTATATACATCATATTATACAATGTATCTTTATATACATCCTATTATACATTGTATCATTATATACATTCCATTATACATTGTAATCATTATATACATTCCATTATACATTGTATCATTATATACATCCCATTATACATTGTATCATTATATACATCCTATTATACATTGTATCATTATATACATTCCATTATACATTGTATCATTATATACATCATATTATACATTGTATCATTATATACATCCCATTATACATTGTATCATTATATACATTCATGTATACATTGTATCATTATATACATCCTATTATACATTGTATCATTATATACATCCCATTATACATTGTATCGTTATATACATCCCATTATACATTGTATCATTATATACATCCATTATGCATTGTATCGTTATACAATACATTCCATTATTTACATTGTATCATTATATACATCCTATTATACATTGTATCATTATATACATTCCATTATACATTGTAATTCGTTATATACATCCCATTATACATTGTAATTATATACAAATCCATTATACATTGTATTGGTTATAATAACATCCTATTATACATTGTTACATTGTAATCAATTATATACATTCCCATTTATACATTGTATCATTATATTCATTCTATTATACATTGTATCATTATATACATCACTATTATACATTATTATATTCATAATACAATCCAATTATACATTGTATCATTTTATACATCCTATTATACATTATATCATTATATATAAATCCCATTATACATTGTATCATTAAATACATCAAATTATACATTGTATCATTATATACATCATATTATACATTGTATCATTATATACATTCCATTATACATTGTATCATTATATACATCCTAAATATACATTGTATCATTATATACATCCTATTATACATTGTATCATTATATACATCTATTATACTATTATACATTATTATAATCCATTATACATCCAAAACATTTTATATACATCCTATTATACATTGTATCATTATATATACATCCCATTATACATTGTATCATTATATACATCCCTCATTGTAACTCCTGGCAAAAAGAAGAAGATAAAGAAATATTTAAAAATATAGAAAAAAACTTAGATCAAGGTTTGATCTAGTTCAGTGCCAGGGTTAGTGTTTGGGTCAAGGTCAGGTCAAAGGTCAGGATTTTAAATAAAATTGGTGTCAGTATCAGTTAGTGTCAATGTCAGTGTCAGTGTGTTTTAGGTAAAATAAAAAAAAGACAAACACAAAATGCGCATAATTGTTTCTGGGGCGTTACAACGGGTACAAACAACAAAAAAAACACACACATAAATGAATCACTGCGATCGTCAGGAGCTGGAGAATTTTATTTTTGGGTTGTTCTTTGGTGTAGGTTATGATAGTAACAAGAAATACACAGCTAAATAAAAAAGATTTTTTTTTACTAGTTTGGGCCAGTTTTCCTTTGATAATAAAAAAAAAATCAGGAGATATTCATTACCATTTACCACCAAATGAAAGTCCCAATTTGTCCTGAAAAAAACGCGGTATAATCCACCCGGATGTACGAAGTAGTTGTGATGATACGGATGGTTTTACTAACACATGTCAACGTTGCAGAATTGTGCTCAGGCGTTTAGATTTGTTTTATCCTCAGGAGTGAAGGGGTTAAGTTAACAAAACTCCAAAATCGGTTTGCAAAATGCAGTGCGATGTGCAGAATCGGATCACATTGGTGGGAATAACCGTGCAATCCGATTCTAGACCATACAAAGGGACCTGCAGCTTTTTGGTGCGGGTGTGATGCGATTTGAAAATGTTCGGCTCCAATTGCACCGCACAGAATTCGCATGTGGTTTGCACAGGAATGCGGTGCGGTTCCTGGACGGATCACATGCGATGTTCCGCACCGCACATGTGTGATCCCGGCTAAGCGATGTCGCTGGAGCGTATTTCGCGGCACTTTTTACGTAAAGCCTTTAATGACAAAAATAGACCACCAGCCGAGCCCAAACCGAGATAACATCAGCGCAGCTCGCCGCGGGCGTTGGAGCGCCCTCCGGGGCCCTACCTGTACAAATAAGCAATCTACATAGTAATCATCACATGGGCTAATGGGAAGCACATGTGTTCACAGCAAAAGGGAGCGCAAATGTAAAGAGAAGTCACATGACCCGGGACCACCCGTTGTGAGGTTCCGCCAACTTACCCTCCGCAGTGTAAACAGAGCCGGCCTTACGGTAATTGGCTTCTTTAAGAAGTGAAATTATGCTGGGAGTGGAAGACGGCAAAAAATGAAAAGGAAAAAAAAATTAAAGGCAACAAAAAAATGAAAGAGAAAAGAAAAAATAAAAGAGAAAAAAAAATTTAAAGGAAAAAAAAAATGAAAGGGAACAAAAATGAAAGGAAAAAAAAAAATGAAA